CACCCCACCCCGCCACACCACGCCACACGAGCGCCCCCACCCGCATCCTGCGCAGTGCCCGCCTAGGCCGCGCTCCCCAGCACCTGCGGTCGCTCCGCCCTCGGTACCCATCCCATTTCGTTCCCGCAGCATCACGATGCAGCATCCGGTTTGACTGGACCGTCGTGTTGGTTTGTTGGTCCCCCCACCCAAAGCGCGCTAAGCCGCCACAAAGTACAGAACGTGGTGCATCTCCTCGAATGATGGTCGGGTGTCCCGTCCCCCCAAAGCGGACTTGTCTATAAACGGCGACACCTGGCTGCGTGGAAGTGGTCTCGCTCGGGGCCAAAGTCAAGGTGCTGGACCCGGCGCAGCCCCCCCGCCGGCTCGACCCGTCACAACCGCGGCTGGCTGGCGCTCCTGGCGCGCCTGGCGCCGGCCGGCGCTCCCCGGCCCGGTCTCCAGGGGGCCGGCCGGCTGGAGGCGAGCTGGAGAAGCAAGAGCCCCTCCTCCTCCTCCTCCCCTGCAGCCGGCTACAGCTACGGCCGGCGAATGCGCGATGACGCACGGAGCACCGCCACTGCGATTACTAAGGAACCCATTTTCAGAGCGGTATTTTATGCGCCACATTCCTCTGCCCAGATGAGCTGATCCACAAACGCAAACAACATTTTTTTGAGACGGTGGTCAGCCATGATGATGATGGACTGCCAGAATCGCGGGGGTAGCGGGAGCGGGGTGGGCCTAGAGTGCGCTGTGCAGGGTGCCCTCCCGATTTAACTCTTCCCGCGGTGAGCTCAGCACTCGATCCTGGACGCACATCCGACCGTAGCTGGTTTGTTTAGTTCGGGTGTCTGTCCACGGCTGGTGCGGGGGCCCGGTGGGTAGTACGTACGTTCTCCACGCAAGGTCAGGTCACCTGCTACCGCTACCAACCGCCCGCCGCCGTCGATCCACCTGTCCCGCCCCTCCCCCGCCACCGCCCCGCCCCCGCCTCGCCCCCGCCCCGCGGTCCCACGAGAGGCGAGAGGAGGGCCTTAGCGCGGCGGGCGGGGCGGAGCTGGACCGGGTGCGAGGTGAGGTGAGGCGGGGCGGGGCGGAGTGGTCTGTTGCCGTCACATCCCAGTCAGTTCGCGTTGAGGCGTCCTAGAAGCAAGTCGACGAACATGAAGCTCCACCTTGCCGCCTCCGTCGTCCTCTGCCTCTGTGGTGAGTACCTCGTACCCGCAGCTCTCCGCGCCTCGCCGCTGCCCACTCACCATGCCCTCGAACAAACACTGACGGACCAGCAACAGGGATGATGACGCCGGAGTGGTGCGCAGTCGCCGAGTTTCGAACCCCTGCATTCTCCGGAGACCCTGGCATGGCGGCGTCCAAAGTGGAAAAACATCAAACCGGTTCGGTTCGCGACGGTCTCACCCGGGCGGTCAATGTTCAACGGACTTCGTACTCAGTTGCTGTTCTTTGTCCAACAAACGCCCTGTGGGGCCGGGGAGACGGCTGAACAGGCGCCAACAGAGTCGTCCTTTGTGTCTCGGACGGAAGGATTGCCCGGTGCGAGCAGTGCGAAGTGAGAGAGAGAGCGGTGCGACGCCTTTTGTTGCGGACTTGTTGTGTCTCCCCCCGGACAGCTGGACGATCGCTCCGCCGCCGCGACCAACGTACTCCGCGCGGCGTCGCTCAACTCTTTTCTTGCTGAGGCTGGCCGGTCAGGCTCCGCTCCCGTCCCTCCCGTCCTCCGCGTCCAAGTTTTCCCGCACAAGGAAAATGCGCCGGGCGGAGCGGGAAAAACACGCGGTGATCCCGGCACGTAGACAGACGACGGAGAGAGGGCGGCGAAAGGGAGGCTGCGGGGCGGGGCTGGGGCGCACTGCCTAGCTCTGCTCCGCCCCGTCCCGCCCCGCCCCGCCCGCGCAGGTGACGGCCGACGGCCACCCCTTGTAGTAGGGCCGGCATGAATGGAGCCGTCCCGAAGGGGAAGCGGCCGCTGGGCGCCGGGAATCCTGGACTTCAGCCGAGCCTCCAGGGCGCAATCACCTGCCAGCGCCAACCAATCCTCTTAACTCCAATCCCGGCAAAACCGACATCATTTTTGTGATTCCCGCGTGTTGTGAAACCCCGCTTTGGCGTCGCGAGTCCGGCCCGATCGGGAGGTCATCACCGTCATCACTGCTGACAGCTAGAGGCGCATACTACTTAGGCTTTGGGGACGCAAGGGGTTGCGGTCGCTAGGCGTCGCGCGGTGTAGCGCCTGGAGGGCAGGCTCTCCCGCCGCGCGCGGGTGCGCGCTGCCTGCCTACCCGCTCCGCTCCTCCCCGCTCCGCGCCGCGCCGCGCCCGCCCCGCCCGCGGTGTCGCCCCTCTCCTTTCGTTTCCTTCTCGACAGCGTGGTTGATGGGGCGGGAATCCCCGGTGTGCGTGAGTGGCCACCGCGTGCCGTACCCGAACCGGACCCGCCCCCCGGGGCGCAATCGCGCCGCGCCAGCCGCGTTCAAGTGCGCTGCGCTGCTGCACATTGGTATTTTCCACGCACTCCGCGGGCCGGGCGGCTGCTGGCGCGCCGTGGCGGGTGCGTCGGCCGCGCGCCTCTCAGTGCCGGCCGAGCCACAGGGCAGGCCGCAGTAAGGGGTCATTCACTTCGATTTTACTCCAAACCGGGTTGGGCCGGCGGCGGCGCAACGAGTTTCGCCCGGGCTTCAAGTCGCGCAGGCGGCCGGGGCGCGGCGTCGGCCTGCCGCTCATATCGAACGAGAACACCTCTATCTAGCAACCCCCCGCCGATACGACCCACGAGTCCCGCGATAAACACGCACTTAGAGAGAATCGGGTCGGGGTCCTCGCTAACGATGCGCGAGGTAGAACAGGTATACGTTCCCATTTTTTTGTGGGGAGCGATAAATCGGTACGGGGTGGGGGGTTGAAGTCGCGTCCATGCGAGTTTGTTGGGCCTCGCTACGTCCCCAGCCGCACCCCCCAGCGCCCCGGGCCGCGCGGGCATGTCACGGAGTCGCGGGGCAAGCGGCATTGACTGGCCGAGGCGCGGGAAAACCCGGCGCGGCTGGTGGCGAGAAGCTCCGATAAATCGATGAGTGCTTCTGGGGTGCAAGTGCCACCCGGCCCGGCCGCGATACCGGCTCGATAACATAACTGCGTGCACAAATCATGGCCGGGGAATTCCTCGTGTCGACCTGATGTATCTGTTTTCATTTACTTCCATTTCCTTTTATTCTTTGTCCCGATGAAGACGAGGCATGCGTGTTATCCAGAGTAAACAACCCCGTCCCGTCTCGTCTCGGTGTTTGCAGGGTTGTCGCTGTCGCAGCCCCGGCATGGCAGGCTCAACCACGAGTCCCCTGTTGTGCAGTACCGCCAGCAGCAGCAGCGGGAGGTGGCCGTCGACAAGTTCAACTTCATCGACCTGGAGCTCCTAGAGGTAAGGACACAGGCTGTCGCGACGCCGCGCACCCGCGGGCCACCCCTGCGCCAGAATGCAGAATGCAGAATGTGTGTCAACTTCGGGAATCCCGGAATGAAATGCACCCCGCTAAGCCTCGATATCGCGGTGCTATCGCCCTGCTGCTTGGACCCCGCGCTGCCTCGGGGACGGCGGGCCGGGCAAGTATGCCACCCCCTCGGGTGGTCCGGTGGGGGCCGGGAGTGCCAGGGCGCGAACAAGCAGCGCGTTAGCGCAGGGGCGGGGCAAGGCTGCTGTGGATTGCCTACATGCAGGAGCATGTTGCATACTTGAGGGCGCCTCATCTGGGACCAACTGGAAAGAGGGGGGGGGGGGGGGCAGCTGCCCCATTGCCCAATTAAATCGACCCCTGCTGGACATGATAAACTACTCAAGCACCCCTGGTATTCTGTGCTGGGCATTGCCGGGCGATTCGGTGTCCCCCTCCCCCTTCCCCCAAGTAGTGACGTGCGGACGGCTCGAGACAGCATCGCGGCTGGAGGGCCAGAGAAAGCTTTATGTAGGCTCATCGTCACGACTTGGCGCCCATCCAGACAGACGGAGGACCAAATACGTTTATTTTGCAAATCACCACCAGTATTAAAATAAAACAAGCGAGTTTGGCGCTCCGACCATCATCGGTGTCACGTGCGAGACGTCGTCGCACGTAGGTCGTCATCGGGGTATTCCCATCCGATCGGCCTTGCTCCTCAGGCGCGCGCGCCTGCACACACACACACACACACACACACACACACACACAAGTGTCCTAACATGTGCCCTGTCCGTTTTCCGCTCCTGCGTAATGAGGAAACGCCTGCACTACTTGCTCCGTTTTTATCGGCTGTATGTTCTGAGTCCATGGCCTTTCACGTCAACCCCACTTCCACATGACGCTCCTGGATGGGCGAGGTGTGGGGTGGGGATGACTGATCCGAGGGGAGTCTTTTTCCGTCTGCTTGAATCACCCTTCAGAACCGCGCTGGAGTTGAATACGGCATTGACACAGCTACACGAAAAGAAGGGCACATCATACACGTCGACGTCGAGGGTAGGAGAAGAGGGGGGGGGGGTAAATCCACGCCCGAGGCTGTTGTTGTGTTGTGGTCTGTCTGTGGGGAGTGTACATGTGGGTATGTGTACGTGGGGACGTGTGCGTATTGGTGATCAACGGAACAACTTGCTTGCTGACGTCAAAAAAAGGAGACGACTGTTCGTGCGAGACGCGTCCTCGTCCGTTTGTGACGCCGGCTGCTGCGACGCTAGTGATACATACGCTAGTTTTGGCGTAGTTTACGCTGAGTCGTGGTCGGGAGATAAATGAGGCGGATTACGCTGGAGCACATTACAAAGGGATTAGCGCAGGCCTCGTAAAGCCGAGCCTGCTCACCAACTCTGATCTGTTATTCGCCGTCATGACGCTCTTGACCTCCACTGCCCCCTTCTCTGTTCGCAGCTCGCCGCGCAGAACGATGCCGGCAACATCGTCCTGTCCCCCGTCAGCGTCAAGACGGCGCTGTCCATGCTGTGGGAGGGCGCCGACGGGAGCACCGCGGACGAGATCGGCGCCGCCCTCCGCCTCACCGGCCGCAGCAGGGAACTCCAGGAGAACAAGCTGCACCAGTACCAGAAGGACCTGATGGTGAGTCCGCCGGTCTGTCCACACCGTGGCCCACGCCCAACTCGCGCCCGCCAACAGTTACACTAACCGAATATCTGCTACTGACTAGTTCGTCAAGAAGACGCTGAAGAAGGGCGAGCTGGTGCCCAGCTCCACCCTGGAGCTGGCCAGCCAGGTGTTCGTGTCGGACAAGTTGGCACTGAACCCCAAGTACCAGGAGGCGCTGGCGCACTACCGGGCCACGGCCCAGTCGGTCAACATGAGCGACACGATGCAGTCGGCCGCCGCCGTCAACAAGTGGGTCAACATGGCCACACACGGACTCGTGCCGAGTCTCGTGGAGGAATGTAAGAGATAACATCTAAAATACCTTATTTTCAATTGCGGAGTCTGGATCATTTTACTCACCTGTGTGTATTCCATCGCAGCCAGCTTGAGCGAGGAGACCGTGATGGTGCTGGCCAACGCCGTCTACTTCCAGGGCAAATGGCAGACGGCTTTCGACCCCGACTCGACGAGCTCGGGCACTTGCTTCTACCCCGACACGGGCGAGTGCCTCAAGGTGCAGATGATGGAGACCATGGGCACCTTCAAGAGCAAGCTCGTCCACGAGCTGGACGCCACTTTGCTCGAGATGCCGTACGATGTAAGTTGCTCTAGTTGACATGTCGTCCCCGACCGTCGTCCTCACGTGTATCCCGCTAACGCTTTGTCGTTCCCTGCAGGACGGGCGCTACTCCATGCTGATCTTGCTGCCCGAGAGGAGGGACGGCATGCCACAGCTCATGCGGAACCTGCTCTTCGGCAACCTTCTGCAGGTGCTCAGCAAGGACGACATGGAGGAGTCCGACTACGTCGTTCTGCTGCCCAAGTTCACCATCGACTACGAGGCGGACCTTGTGCCCTTCCTGCAGAAGGTGAGGTGGAGTGACATGGGCGTCGCTTGGTCCGTTCCCACTCGCGTCTGCCCCCCCCCCTCCTTTCCCGATGGACGGTTTTAAGTTTTGACTTTTGCGCTGCAGCTCCACGTGAAGGATGTCTTCACCCCGTCGGCCAACCTGACCCGCATGGTGAAGCAGGACATGGCCAAGCTGCTGGAGCCTGCCGTCAGCAACGTGTTCCACAAGGCCAAGATCGTGGTGGACGAGCGCGGCGCCGTGGCCGCCGGCACGTCGGGCGCCCTGGTCGTGCCGCTGATGGGCGGCCCCCAGCCCAAGTTCAAGGCCGACCACCCCTTCCTGTTCTTCATCCGGGATAGCAAGACGAGCAGCTTCCTGTTCGCGGGCCGCGTGTCCCGACCCGACGAGGCCCCCGCCGTGCCCGCCGCGCCCGCCGCCGCCAACGAGTCCGTGCCCGCCGCCGCCTCGCCGTCCGCCTCCGAGCCCGCGGTCCCGTTGGTGTCCATGCGCGTTCAGGAGATGAAGCCCGCCCCCGATGCGGAGCAGGCCAACATCAAGTTCCCATCAAATAGCAAGCAGGAGTAGAATGGCGCGTGCTTCGCTGCTTTGCGTACTCCAAGTGGTCATTAGAATGAGCCGGCTATACTTCACGCCCCGAAACGTACTATCTGTACACTTTGACTTTGTTTTGAAGTTTCGAAACAGATGAGGACGAGGACGAGATGGAGGAGGAGAAGGTGAAGGCGAAGGAGGAGAAACGACAAAGAGCAGTAATTTATTTCCCATCGCCGAAAAAATTCCCCCAGTGTTGATACTTAAGTAAAAGTATGTACCTATGAGACTTTTGTCATGCCATACGTCAACATTGGACGGAGCATTGTTGGGCGACTGTAGAGATGGCCATATGCTACGTATGCCATACTTTTTCCTCACATACTGTTGTTATGCCCTTTCTTTTTCAGAGGAGACTGTTATTTTATTATTATTTTATTTTAGATTTATAGATTTGATGTAAACGTTAAGGATCGAGTTTAGTTTGACTAAGATAATATTTATGTATGCTGTGATTTCCGTACGGTGGTTAATTACTTAATTTGTATTTTTTTTTAAATAAAACGTTTTTAGAAGTTATAGTTAACGAAGATGACTGCTTAATTTTGTGAGCCCTGTGCTGTGCCCCGTCGTGCAATCAGCAAATGAAGAAAAATGGGGGGGGGGGGGTTACCAAAACTTATACAGTCTTACGCCAAAATCACGCCCTCAATGAATGGGATGTAATAGTAACACACATTAAAAGATTTTTAGACGGCTCCAAGACTCTTTACCGGAGAGCAAAGTGCACCCCCCACCTCTTCCTCGCCCTTTCCCCTCAAGCAGCACACGGCACTCGGTTGTGGCGGCCGCGCTCCCCGCAGTTGCTGTTTATGGCATCGAAAATTACTAAGTTGATAGAGAATATTGATCATATGAATGGTGACATTAACAAAATCCGATCGCGGTCCGATCATGATAAGAATGTAATCAAGGCCAAATGAAATTGAAAACGTATGAACCCCATACACGCACGCCGCATAATTATTAAGCGCAAGTAAATAATCCTGACTGCGAAGTAAACTTTTTTCGTTTCCTCTGTGTCACCATTGTCTGCAACAGAGGGACGGTAAAGTGCCTGCGTGGCTTCAACCATGTCGGCCATTTCCCGTGCGAACGTCGCCTCGAAAGACAACAAGTTTGGCTGGTCCTGCCGGAGCCTGCGCTTCATCCCGGCCCAAGGCACGCCGCCGGCGCACGCCGCGTTTTAAAAACCCCTCCGCGCCGCGCTCCGCTCGCTGCTGAGGGCGCCACGGGTCCTCTTTCCGGGTTTTTGGCTACAGCGCCTGGCTCAGTGACGTCAGCCCCCAGCCAGAGTCCGTTCCGTCCCGTCCCGAGCCGAGCTCGAGCCAGCCGCCTCGCCGCCAATCAGCCATGTTCGTGGAGAGTTGGAAAAAAATCGCTCCGTGAATTAGGCGTCGTTTTCCCCGTCCCGCATCGGAAAGTGCCCCAAATTTATAGTTGTCGGGTAGATTAACACTCTACCCGTTCCTTTTCGTGTGTTTTGAATCTCAAAGATCCAACCATGAGTTACGGTAGACCTCCGCCGAGAATTGATGGCATGGTGTCTCTGAAAGTAGGGAACCTGACCTACCGAACGACGACCGACGATTTGCGACGAGTGTTTGAAAAATTTGGTGAAGTTGGCGATGTGTACATCCCTAAAGACAGATTCTCTCGGGAAAGTCGAGGATTTGCCTTCGTGAGGTGAGTATTTGTTTAATTTCACTGTTTTATGGCCACCAGCTTGGAGTGCGTAGTGGGGCGGCTCACTACTGGGAACAACTGAGCGTCCATGATATTTTCTCTTCTGGAATGTTTTTGTTGTTGGCCTTAGATGCGCATCCATCGCGCATGCTCAAACTTGCTTATTGGATGGTTGTTTAGGCAACGAACAAGAAAAATTGATCCCCTCCAATTTATTGTAGCAACCTGATGTTGCTTTGACTACGCCGTTCCGGTTTGGTGCGTCATTTGGTCGGATTTTTTCTTCTCCCTCAGCACGATGCCGCCATCTTGATTAGGTCCTAGTCGCAGGTCTCCCGAGCATTTGGTTCAACGAACTGACGTGTCAAACAATTCTTTAGTGTTTCAATTTCTCCTGTGTCGGCGAGAGACCTTGCCTGTGCTTCAAAATGAGTTACGGTCGCCCTCCGCCCCGCATCGACGGCATGGTGTCCCTGAAAGTAGACAACCTCACGTATCGCACCACGCCTGAAGACTTGAGGCGCGTGTTCGAGCGGTGCGGGGAGGTGGGAGACATTTACATCCCCCGCGACAGATTCTCTCGCGAGAGCCGCGGATTCGCGTTTGTGAGGTGAGTGACCGGACTACTGGCGCGGCAGAGCTTGCTAGGGACGCTATGCCCTTCGCCTTTGCTGGCCTATTGCCTAGCGCCCACCCCTATGCGGGCTGTGTATCTAGGTTGATGGCCTACCTCTTGAGAGGGAAAATGTCCGTTCAGTCCTGGCCAGGGTCCAGAGGAGGTAGACGGTAGCCAGATAGTGGTCACTCGTGCTTTGCATTTTTACTTCTATGACTGATGGTGGGCTTTGCCCTGATTATTTAAAGCCATATCCCTTGACACTCACTTGCGGAGACATTGAGGAATATGACTTAAGTTTGACGTAAGCTTGAATCCATCTTTATATTGAGAGGGTGCTAGGTGACAGTCTACGACTGTTTGAAAAAATTAGGGAGTAGAAGGGTAGCAAGCCATTATTTGTTTTCTTTTGTTACTTGGTAGAAAGCGATCCGTACACGCGAGTATCATGTCTGTTTGCTTTATTTATTCACAGTCGAAGCTTCTGAGTGAAGGAGCGTATGTTGACAACTTTATAATCTTTCTTTTTAATTTGCCTTTTAGGTTCTATGACAAAAGGGATGCTGAAGATGCATTGGATGCTATGGATGGAAGACTCCTTGATGGCAGGGAATTGAGAGTTCAGATGGCCCGCTATGGTCGTCCCTCTTCACCATACCGTAGGAGCAGCCGCAGAAGAAGGTTGGTTGCAATCCAGTTGAGAATATGTTATTCGACTGTGTGCACTTATTAATCTACTACATTTTGTTTAAGCAGCCGGTCCCGTTCAAGATCCAGGCGTCGCTCTCGCAGCCGTAGCCGTTCCAGGTCCCGCTCTCGCTACTCCAGATCGCGATCTCGCCGCCGCTCTTACTCCAGGTCACGATCTCGCTCTCGTTCAGACAGCAAGAGCTCACGAGGCAGATCCAGGTCCAGGTCTAAGAGTGCTGAGAGGGCAGAACGCACCAGCAAATCACGTTCTAAGTCCAAAGATTAAGGTACAGTACAGTACCCAATTTCTTTCAACAATCATTAGTTGGTTGACTGTTAAATAATCTAGATTTCTCTGTTTTTGTTAGTTTTGACTGTCTTGTTGGATTTTTTTGTTTAATGCCTTTGGCACTTGGTTTGTTGCAGATTGAGCGTGCATATGGTTTTGGGGGAGTGAGCGCTGTTTGGTGCTTCATTTAAAGGTATAATGCATTTTAAAGTTCATATATTTATCTCCCTCAACATCCATAACTTGACAATGAAACAAGATGACACGAATTTTATGTGACTGAAGGTTGTGGTCAATATGACCATTTATAACCTGTTTGCAGTTCCCCCTGCATTTTTAATGTACACTTGATAATGAAGCTTCATGCAACTGCTTCTGTTTGTGTACGCTCGTAGAAGTTTTACAAATCACAAGTTTGTTTTGACTTTATTTTGTACTCCCATTTCAATTGTAGGATAGAGTCTAGGCTTTATTTAACGAGATTGTTCTTTTTTCAATATCATTAGTCTCCCCTTACTCAATGGTTAGTTACATTCAATACATTTAAATTTCAGTCGCTAGGTAAATTTTAATTATTTGCATCGAAGAGTGAGGGATGAGACATTCATCATTAGCAAAGGCAAACTTTGTCATTTTGTTTCTATCGTAGCTATTGATCTGAACAGCAGAATTCCTTAGTGAGATACATCATTTTTTGTGGGTTTTGAGGCTATCATATAGTTAAATTCAAGTTGAACGGCCGGGATTTAGAGTAATATTGCAACTTCCTGAGGGAAGATCTTTCTGATAAAGTAGGACATCATTTAATTTCAATCATTTCCAATTAAAATAATTCTGATCAGTCGATTTAACTGTGCATTGTCTTTAGTTCTTCGTTGCAATAAGCTTGTGAAGTGTTAAGTGTAATATATGCATTAGTCACTGTACTGCATTAATATAGTAGTATACATTTAAAATAAATCAATTTCCCTTACTAGAGATGTGTTTCTGGTTTTCTCATAAATATATTTATATCTTTTGGAATTGATAGTCTATATTGCTACTCAGTCTCTATTGCTATTTCATAACTTGTTAAAATTGGCCTTATGGATTTAATCGTGTTTAAATGTGAGGGTTTGTATTTTAAATGCTAGTGTTGAGCAGCGAATGTGTGCTCTTTTTGCAAGTTATGTCTATAGGCAGCATGTTAAATGCTGTATTATGTCTTAGTGTCAAAATTAAAGAAATATCTGAAAGTATACTTATAAAGTGTTGGTTTGCAAATGTTGGTCTTTAATGGACCTCCCTCTTTTATCTGAACATTTACTATGTATGTTGATAATCTTTGAAATGTTTTGAGCTGACCCTCTGTATTTTGGGTGCCACAGGGCGCGAGTCCGTGCGCTGTGGTAGCGGTAACGAGTGCAGAGGTTGGGGGTTGCGGTTACGAGAGTCATGCTGAGATCGGGGTGTTGCGAGCTCCAGGCGAGACACGAGACATGCGAGACGAGACGTTCGAGGCGTGGCGAGCGTGCGGGTTGCTGATTGGCTGACATATTCGGGGCAGGCAGTTTCCTCAGTCGCTGAGTCCGTAATGTTGGCCAAACACTCAAAGAGTGTTAAAAAAAATCTCTCCTCGCCTTAACAATCACATCAGGCTTTCCCTACTTACACCATTACACAATCTTTTAGCAAATGGCCTCATAAATACGGTCATGTTAAATATTTATTTTCCAATTGCGTAATGTTTTGTAGATTCCTTTTATCATTTCCCTTAATCTCTTTTCAAAATTTTTCTGATCACTTTGCCATTTGCCTTAAGATTATTTTATTTTCACCTTGCCTGAATATTTAAACCTTAATCCTTCAAAACTTCGACCTTTATCATAGTATGCTGCACAATTTATTAAGGTGGGTATGAAAAGACTTTCCTCCTAAGTGCATAAAAGTATTGAGTAATGAGTACTTATGTAGTTCACTCTGGGGCCTGGAACATCACTTCATAGTTACCCATATAAATACTTCTGTATCTATTTGCACTGCTATTAACTTCCAATTGGCAGAGTTTAAAGTAGCGAATTAATCTGAAGTGATCTGCAGATGCCTTTTTTTCTGTTTAAACAGTTCATATTTTTAAATTTCTTTGAGATGTAGCATGCATGGCTCCTTCACACAATTCCTCTGCATGTGGTCAGAAGTTACTTTGAAACAATTTATGCCTATGATGCTGATTTATGTTGGTCTTATGTATTGCATACTTTAATAGCTAGCGAAAAATATTGCTTAATCCTCTGCCTTACATGTAGAGTTTCATATATTCAGTACAGCTGATGGGAAAACTTGCTGTTAAACTCCCTTTATGTTTGTGGTGGATGCGGTGTTGGTATCTGCTCTGGTTTTCTCGTCGATCAGTTGTGTTGTGCATGTGGGAGGTCTTTGTGGGTCTTTGGTTGCTGCTTTTGGAATAGTTGTGTACTGGGTAGGTATGATGGTTAACTTCAAAGTACACCATCATTTAAACCCCCGAAAAGCTTAGAAGGCCTTGACTTATTGTTTTTATCAATGGAGGATATTCAATTCTTTTTTTTTTTGTCTTAATATATCAAGAACAATTTTAAAGTACTCTGGCCTCCTAACTTTTTTTTCATCTGGTATGTGCTACTATGTTACTAACTTTTGTTTTTTACAGATCAGTGTTGCTCCTGACTTCCTATTTTTAAATACTTTGTCTTCAAAATCAATGACAATAAATTACTGTGCTCTTTAAGTTGACTCTCTTTAACTGTTCCATCCATAAACATTCACCCTTGCAAGCTTGATCCCCAGCACACACCCAGTTTGTTCCAACAATTACAACCACTTTAAATAAAATATTCTTGGAATTTGAACTTTATTGTCAACACTAGCTCTAAATATTTGACAAGAAAGACAATTTTCAGTTATTCAAAATATTTTTTCTTCACTTAACGATACAGTTCATCAGGTAGATTGTGATGCTTCAGGGACCCAGTATGGTCCAGTGCAGAAGTCTAATACAGATAGGGAAATACTATCAGTCATGCTATTCAAGAGAAGAGATACATCTTTGGCACTTTTTGAAGAAAAAAGGAAATGACCTACAACTTAATTTTAACAGTAAAGCGTTCTTATTTCTTTAATACTGATGTGAGAGTAAGCACATACTTGAGTATGTACAAAATGACACTAAAATGAAAATGATGATATAGTACAATGTGCTATCCAATGAAAAAATTTACATCACAAGGAGAAGTAGAGGAGATATCTGTAAGAAAAAGCATAAAACAATGGCAAGTTCTTGGTAATGCATGCTGCATTTTGATTCAACTCCTCACCTATTGTCAAAGTGACAAATATCAAAATCGATTTTTAAAATTTTGTTTTAAAGTGAGGAGGAAAATGGGTAGCAGAGGAACAGCTTAATAGTCTCAGCAGGAATAATAAGGTATTCAGAGGACAAAAGGCTGAAGCTCATAGTCATAAAATGAGAAGTAGGCTTCAGTGTCAAGGGTAAAACTGAAGACCAATTAAAAGAAACAGTGGGAAGCACTGGGAACAATTGCATAAATTTCAATCCTCTCCTTTATCTTCTTTTGCGGATAAGAAGAGCTTCTGTACAAAATGAGTGACGGAAACTGAAAAATTCACAAGAAGAAAAATGTCAAGAAATATTGAAACATTAAAACGTTATCAGTGAAAAATATATGACCTACCCATTGCATTGTTGAACACTTCTGGCTTTCTCTCTTGAGCAATAAAAATAAAGTATACAGGAATGCCAGTTATAGTGATAAGACAACCAACCAATACTTCCCATGGGGCTTCAAACACTGGCACAATCAGCAAAAACAAGCAAACAAGAACAAAAAATATGGGTATCCAAATAGTGACCTTGAAAATGATAAAATTTTCACAATTAGCAGGATGCTTTCAGTAGCAGTGGCAGTAAACTAGCATTAAAATTTTTTTTAAAAATACCTTGATAGGTCTTTCCAGATTAGGCTGCTTATAACGGAGCCACAGAACCCCACTGACAGACAACATTATGAAAAATGATTCAACAAAAGTGGAGTAAGTGATCAGCATATTTACATCACTTGAGCACAGCATGATGAGGGATAAAATACACTGTAGAAATAGAAATTTAATTAAATGATTGACATTTACGTCTTTAAAGAATTTTGTTAAGCGCACTACTTACAAGAAAGACTAAGCTTGGCACTGGTGTGTACCGTTGAATGTTGATATGTGACAACAAAGCAGGAAAATGCCCATAACGAGCCCCAACAAAGCACATTCTGAAAGAAAAATACTTTGTTAGAAAAGTTAAAAGCTAAAATCTGAAGTGAGTTCACTAACATTTTCTAGTACCTTGAGGAAGTCATAATGTGCACACTGAGTCCTCCAAAAGCAGAAAGTGCAACAAGGAATGGCATAACTCCTGATACTGGTCCAAGAGCTCTTTCAGCAAAAGACTAAGTAGAGGGAATGAAAAACAAACATGCCAATAATATTTAACTTACACAGAAATACATAGTTCCACATAAAGTATTATCCAAAATACCCACAAAAGCAATGGCATTGGAAGATAATGCCTCTGAAGTAGTAAGTACAGCTAAATATGCAACATTTGCAAGGACATATGCAAGGGTTACCACAGGAAGAGATATGTAAATGGCTCGTGGTAAATTCCTAAAACACATATATATCAAATAAAATCAACCATATAGGAAGTATATACAAAAAAGAGAATAGCTGAATACTATACATACACATATGGATTAACAAGTTCTTCTGTCATAAAGTTGAGATAGTTCCTAGAGAAATATTTGGGTCAAAGAAAATTTGTACAAAAAGTTTAGAGTACTTGAGTATACTAAACAAAACAAAAACATGCTCACCATCCAGAGTACGAAAATATGCCAGAATAAAATGCAACAGATACTTTGGAAACACTAGTGCTGGTTCCATCAAACATGTTGTCAAAATTACTCGTTCCACCTGCAGTCATCAAGATGGATGTTGTAAACGATTGAGTAACTGGCATAATTTAATAAACTTAAAACGAAAAATTCTTACCAGGCAGCATTAGGTAAATCAGTCCGGCTACGATGATGATAACAAGGGCACCAATTTTTGCAAACATAAATACATTTTGCAACTTTGTAGTGGACTTGACACCATGACAGTTGATCCAAGTTAAAAAGCCTGCAATTATTATGTTGAGTTAAGGCAAGGAATTAAAAAATGATGATAGAAGAAATCATGAGATTAAAAGGAAGGGAAAAAGAGGGGGTGGGTGTCAATAACTTACATATAGTAGTTGCTGCAACCATCCTAATGGCAGCATCAGGAGCATGACATTCAGGAAAGAATGGTTGTATAACATATCTTGCAAATGTTAAGCCCATGATGGCATTTGTGGTTGGCCTAAGTTAAAAATGTAAAAAATATCAGATAAAAAATGAGTTAAAATGAAAAAATGAAATATAAAAATTTCACGAGGTATTTCTTACACAAAGACCAGCATGGCATCCCAAAGGTAAAGAAATGCAGGCAGAGGACCAAATATTTCAAAAAGGTATGCATAATCGCCACCAGATTTTGGAATAGAGGTGCCAAGTTCTGCATAACACAAGGCACCCACCATGGACATCAGCCCACACATAGCCCATACTGCTAGTGAGAAACCAACTGATCCTGCTCCCTTTATAACACCACCAGGGGTCATAAAGATACCTATAGATCAGAAAGGTGAAACCAATTTAATTTTATTCTCACTGTGATATTTTGAATTCTAGGACTGATGTATTATGAATTGCTCATTATGGAGGATAGTTTACCTGAACCAAAGATGATTCCTAAGATAATAGCAACACCTTCTAGTAATCCTAGTTGTTTCTTCATTTGAACTTTATCACCCTCCCAACTAGCCTTATTTTCATCTTTAGGTGTGACGAGTGTTGAAGTAACGGAGCCATCTTGACCTCCACTGCCCCCTGCCATTGTCACTGAAAACAAAATGTTAATAGAAAATAGGATTTAAGTTAATCGCCTTCATACGGCTGTATCACCTTAAGAGAAATAACAGATAACAGCAGATAACAAATAACAGATAACAGATCCATCTTACACAGGTTTCTCTTGCTCTCTGTCGATTCAAAAATGTTTCAATGAACATATTTTGCAATAAATGCTACTTTAGTGGAATAAACCATGATCAAACAGCATGAATTACCTTCCTGAAATGGATCTGTTATCTGTTATCTGTTATTTCTCTTAAGGTGATACAGCCACAATGGAATTGGGTTTTATTGATAATTTTACGAGGACATTAAGTAAATCATTTCCACATTCAAAACACCAAAACATTATTGGTTAAATGTAAGAAAATGTGACAAATTTAAATTATTAGACTCTGTGTACAACAAAAATTCTACTGCACAAGAGCTCAGATGATTCTGAATTCTATCACCTACTCCTACTGTATACGAACCTCCATCAATATCAATATTCCTCTCATAAAATCCACTAAATAGTTTTGTTCTTAGCACAATTTTAAAAAATATCTCAAAAGTGTTATCCAATTATGTACGCTGATGATGCTAATATCATCATCACTGGAATTAATCTGGCTGATGTTAGAGATAAAACTTTAAAAATACTTGAAGGAGCCACTAAATTCCTTAGTAGTCTAAACTTGATTGTCAACCTTAAAAAAACCTGTGTAATGTTATTCCAGTTAAGGGACACCCCTGAAAAACTAAATCTAACTGTTGGAGATCTTAGCATAGCTGAAGAAAGTACTACTGTCTTTCTTGGACTGACTGTCGATAACCGGCTTTCCTGGAGAGCGCATCTGGATGTAATTGTAAGTAAGCTGAGGAAGAGCGTGTATGTCATTAGACAGATATCCCAAGTGGTGGATCACCACACTCTTCTTCTAGTTTACTACGCGTTTGTATTTCCTATTCTCTCGTATGGTATCTCAATATGGGGTGGCTATGCCACTAAAAGTGACCTGAACAAGTATGTTTAGTACACAAAAAAATGCAGTGAGGATACTGTCAAATTTGCCAGCTTTTGCATCCTGTAGAGGATACTTCATAAAAAATAGACTCCTAACGGTCCATGCACTATATGTATATAGATGCATCATCTTTACTCTGGCAAATCCAAAACACACAAGGCTGGTAAATTCCATACATGAGTACCCTACGCGAAATAATAAAAATATGCATATAGAACGCTCAAAGTCAAACGTGGTAAAAGTTAATCCCTCCCACATGGGAGCGATTTTCTTTAATAAATTGCCAGATGCACTCAAGGATGCCGTATCATTAAAATGTTTCCAATGTAGATTAAAAAATTATTTAATTGAAAGGGAACTGTACAGTTGGGAGGAGTTATGAGTTGCTCCTCATGTCACAAATGTCAAATGTTGCTCTGAAGTGCCTGTTATTGCCCCCTCTCCTATCTGACTTATGCAATTGTGACCGCCATCTTTGCACAAATAAATACAAATACAAATACAGTTGTCTTCTCTAGAATAGCCTGCCAGAAGCCATTCAAATAACTAATGTCGAATTCAATTTTAAAAACCATATCAAACTTAACATTTACTTGAGAATTCAATTAACTCTTAATATACTATCAATCATCCAAGGTTCACCACCTAAAAAACATTACTTTAATTTTATATTCAAAACAGGGCCTTGGCCTCTTGACTTCACCCATAAATAAATGGAAATAAATAAAATTATTCACATACAGCAGAACATATGTGAGGTCTAAGTTCAGGATGCAAAATCCAACCAATAACAATAAAAGATAACGGAGTTCAGGACTTAATTGATAAGCGGGAAAAAAAGGAGGTGTGCGGTTTTGCGGCAATCTGGAGCCATATAAAATAACCATCCTAAAGCAATTTGTCAGGAAATAAATACAAAACACTTTACACTTCAATAGAATTTATCAGTAGCTTGTGGACGTAGTCAAAAACTATTTCGATTTTGATGGGGGATAAAGACATGTGCAATATCCACTCCCACCCTTAATGCCAATCAACCCCTAACAGTAAAGCATGGCCAAGCAGCAAAGGCCGGTAATATTTAACCATGCTCGAGAACATGAATTCGCTTCGATATAATGGCGCAGATTGAGTGAGACAAGAGATGCAGAGTTTCTGTCACCATTTGTAAATGTACTGGGTAAAAATATTTCTGCGGGGGTGCAAAGCTTGTAACCCCCATAACCTCTCTTTTGCGGCACAAGAATAGAAAAGCGCAGAGTTCCGAAAGGCTTTTTGAGTGACACCTCAAACGGCCACAGGCACAGCATGCCTGGTAGGATTTTATGACAAATAAAGTATTTACCCGGGGGTAGAGGTTGCGCCGTTACAGGATCAGGGAGGTACGCAGTTGTTGCTTCTCCGACTCCGCCAAGCTACAAAACACATGTGCACCGCCGCCGAGGAGCAGACCGGTTGCGGTTGGGATGGGGTGCTGATTCAATAGAGGGTCGGGGG